TATCCAACCACCGTGTGGTTAACGGATGAGCTCAGAGCCATCCAAAAAACCTTCCTCAGGGCGGCCAGGAGCAACGCAGTTAGCGCTGTAAAGCCTATCTTCAATGGTTGCACCTTCCACTCGGGATGGCTATCCACCACTTGCAGAGACCGTGGTGTGGATACGTGAAGTAACTGAGTGAGTACCGAACAGTTACAGGGCTATGCTTTAGCTCAAATTTATTCAAATTGAATGTCATTTCATTACAGGGTTGTATTATAATCTACTTAATCTAATTTTATGCATAGTTGCATTAAAAACTATTTTATTTTAAAGTCTTCGAAACTAAGGGTGATTTAAATTTGTATTCAATATATAACACTTCTCCACCCTTCATTTACGATGACGCAAAAAAAAATCCATACATCTAATTCATGAATATGGGAAAAGTTACAAACGCATATAGATATGTACATATGTTATACAATATATTTAAGTTCTTCTGAAATCAAGAGCTTCCTATCTAATAACTTTTCTTCGCATGCGTGTACTCTTACGAAGTTGGGTTTCATCAGTAGGGGTGCCGGCAGGAGCACGAGATTCTGTAATCTGTTGTTGCGTCTGAAGATTATTCGAAGTTGGAGTCTGATTTCCTGGTAACTGACTGACAGGTAACTGCATATGTTCAAAATTCTCATGCGCGTGTGTGTCGTCGAGGTCAGTACAGCCTCTAATTTTAAGCTGATTTCTGTGACGCTTTAAACAGCCGTTAGGTGTCTGTACCAAATATAACATTTTACCTAGGTGTCGTGCAATGTTACCTTTTATCTACCTCGGACCTCTTGCGTAGTTTTTTGGGAATACTGGTTGCTTTACTTGGAACTCTTGCTTGCTCTCCAGTTCCCTTTTGTTCTGGCTCGGCTGCTCGAAAATTTGGCTTAATATGGTACGAATCGGTCTTCCATGTAGAAGTTCTGCTGGTGTCAGCGTTGGGCATAGCACGGTAAGTAGCTAAGTACTTTACTAGTGCAGCTTGAAGCGGAAGGCCATCGTCGGTATTTTTTTTTTACAGAAGCTTGAAATGTTCTGAGAAAACGTTCTGCTAGTCCATTTGAAGCGGTATGAAACGCTGCTGACGTGAACAATCGTGGTACAAAGCTCAATAAAAATATTAAAAATAAAATGTTAACAAGCCACAATAACATTGACAAATACAAGTGACGTGTTTTATTCCAAGTTGTTCACAAAAAACTCGGACCGTTGTCACTAACGATGGTTTCGAGAATTCCCTCAATGGCGAAAATTCCAGATAGCGTAGATATCGTATGGGCAGTTGTAGTAGTTGTCATTTGCACAATAAATGGAAATTGTGAAAATGCATCAACGCAGATGAGCCACATAGAATTAAAAGCAGGTTCAGCAAAATCAATGTGCACTCTTTCCCATGGGCGGGGTGCAGGGTTTACAACCTTACATATGTCGTAATTGTTACACATTTCGACAATATCTTTGTCCATGTTGACCCACCATATATTTCGCCTCGCTAGTTGTTTCATTTTAGTTACACCCCAGTGTCCATCATGTAACATTCGAAGAATTTGACCGCGGAGAGAAGCGGGAATGATGACACGATTATACTCCGTTTGGAGGCAAAGTAAATTACTTTTGATGGTTAAGGCAAATCTGTGGTTGAAAAATGATCGTAGATCCGCATCTTGTGGACTTAAATTTTCAGGCCATCCACGCTGTACGTAGGAGCAGACCCATTTTAGGACTTTATCGTTTTCAGCGTGTCTACAAATAATTTCAGCGTTAATTGGCGTGTTTAATTCACTTACATTATAGCATGCTTCTTCGTCATCGAAAGTTGTGTCGTAGCCTAGTGGTAAACGTGATAAAGCGTCGGCGTTACCACGTTCGGTAGTTTTCCTATATTTTACGACATATTGGTAGGCCATACGTATGATGGCCCATCGTTGCAACCGATGTGATGTCATCACTGGAAGCTGGTGGCTTGCGTTGAAAATGCTTACAAGCGGCTTGTGGTCTGTGACCAAGGTAAATTTCCTTCCAGATAGGTATTGGTGGAAACGCTTGACTCCGAAAACAATAGTTGACCCTTCTTTCTCGATTTGGCTGTATCGCACCTGATGCTTTTCGAGGGTCTTAGAAGAAAACGCGATTGGTCTCTCACTACCATCAGCAAATACGTGTGAAAGCACTACTCCTATGCCGTATGAAGAAGCATCTGTAGCAAGGACCAATGGCAACCCCTCCTGATAATCCGCCAATTGTGTCGCATTGACGATATATGACTTAAAAGCATTAAAAGCTTGCTGAGAAGACCCCCAAGTAAATTTAACATTTTTTTGGCGCAGCATATTAATAGGGGCCGACAACTGGGAATAATTGGGTATAACAAACATAGATGTTGGCAGAGTAAGAGTGTTTTTGTGGTGCTCTTACGTTTTTGTGTTTTCCTGCGTAAATAATTTAAAAAATTCCTCAAACTATTGATCTACCGGTGTACCTGTGCGCTTAAACAAACAAATAACAAGCAAACAAGCATGTCAATAGCACGCAAAAACTCAGCAAGAAAACCGGCTACCGGCTCACTCTTCGTAATGAACTGGCTGCTGTTCAGACTCAGCTCAGTGCTCTCGAAAGCAGCGCAGTCTCCACTATTAGTAACGGGATTCCTCAGGCAGCCGGTGAGTGTTTTCTGAACTTTTTGCAAAGATTTGCGGTGCAACTCAGCATAAACCCCCCCTGTGCGAGATGCTTTTCGAGTAAAAAGCGTAAAAAGTAATGGGCAAAAAATCAGAGACAACTGTCCCATTGTTGTAAAGTTGTTCACTTCACACAATCGAAATCAGCTCATGAAATCCATTGCGGTCTTCTGCAGATCCAAAAAGAGATCCCTTGCGCTCACTGATGTTGAGTTGCCGGGCTATGGGTCAATATTTGTACATGAGAGTCTGCCGAAAAAATTGCGAGATGTGATGTCGTATGCTTCAGAGCTCACGCGGAAGAAACAACTGGCGTCAATGTCCTCTATACGAGGGAAAATTTTTGTGAGACTAAAACCAAATGAAGCGCCCATACTGGTGAGCAGCAGAGCCAGGATTAACGCTCTTTTCAACAGTACGCGGAAGTAAAAAATTTTACTAGCCTAGAAGTTAAGTTATATTTATGTTCTTTTCTCCTTCTCGCTGTACCAAATTCTATTTGTTTAATATTTCCTTATTTTTTGTTTCTACATGTAAACCTTGATTCTTCTCGTTTAATTCTGTTTCCATATTTACTAACGTTTATAGCAATCGTTAACGTGCGTTAAAGTGCTTCCTTGTGTTATATGTATTTTGTGGTTGCTTTTGTCCATCTCAGTGTTATGGACTTAAACCCCTATAGGAAATCCGCCTCCTGCATTGACGAAAGCCACAAGATTTTAATTGATATTTTGTGTAAGCAATATAATGGCCTCAAAGTGGTGCGCTTCAATGCAAGAAGCCTTAACGGTGACAAACTGGATTATACTAGGGATATTTTTGGGAAATCTGACGTTGATGTTATTTGCGTATCGAAAACGAGGTTTAATCCTGACATCTCCGACTTCTACTACAGCATTCCAAACTTTAGTGTTACCAGAGCCGATAGAACACAAAGGAAAGGAGGATGTGTTGCATTCTACTGCAGGTCTACCCTAAAATTTTGCGTTTTAGCAGAATCAAACCACTGTGATACGGAATTTATTATTGCCGAAATTTCTGACCGAGTGACTAAAATATTAGTGTCCTGTGTGTATAAGCCCCATAGATGTTACTTGTTGGATTCGTTTTTTTCAATTATAAAAAGTTAAGTTTAGTTAGTTACAAAAA